GCACGAGTGCCACATGGATTGGTGTTGCTACATTTTCTTTCTCATTAAAATGAATAAAGCACAGACAGATCATTGGTGGTGACACTGAACAGGATGAGAGGGCTTGTGGGAACTGGAGCAGCCCTGTAGCCACTCCTGAAGAATGGAGAAAGCAGAAGATTTTTTTTTCAGTAACAGAGTAATTAATTTTTTTTAAAAAAAATCCTTCATAGCCCTGACACATACACCTCAAGAGGTCCCTTCATATCCACACCAGGTTTCAGTTGTCTAGCTTTCATGATTTTGGAATTATTCTGGAGAGACAGCAACAGACACATTGATGATGGAGGTTGTGGGTTGATAACGATGATATATTTGCTCAGTACGAAAGCAAAGGCGCAGCAGGGAAAGGGATATTCACAAAAACCCTCTGAGCAAATCTTGCTAAGAAAACCCCATGATAGATTTGCCTTAGGGTTGCCATAAGCTAGAAAGAACTTGAAAGCGCACAACACACACACACATACACAATGTGGGTTCTAAAGCACAAAGCAAACTTTTATGGATACAAAGGACTCTTCGCTACAGACAGGTGCTCTCAAAATATGGACTGTGATGAGAAGCACAGCAGAAAGTTCATTTAAGTCGCACACCAAATGTCTGAACTGAGTTCTTGCATTGTAGATGTTTCCCTCTAAAACGTAATTGCAACACGATATTCTGAATTGGGAGCAAATGTAAAAATAGCAGAACAAGGAAAATGTTTTCCAGGTTTTCTTTCTGGAATTGACAAAAGCTATTTGAATATGTAAAGCTGATCTCCCTCCCAAACTCCCTCCCTCTCCCTTTCTCTCTATATGTACATATGATACACACACACACACTGCATTTCTTCAGTACTAAGGAACTCATCATATTGAGATCTAATGTGCAGGTGATAGCAGGGGAATTCGCCATGGCACAGGGTGTGGGGAACCCGATGCCCCACGCACCACATCACCCAGATAGCCGCTTATCTCATCCCATGGGGGAGAGCGTCACCAACTGACTTCCCCCCGTTCTTCTCTATGGAACACAAAAAGTCTCCCATGTTCTCACTGGTGCCTCTTATGATGGTTTCACCTTACTTCACAAAAAGTAAATCTACATCATGTGATGCAATCCGATGTGGTCCGTGTCTGAAGTGAGGTGAAACTTATTGGAAACCAGGTTGCTAATGGAAGCTAGTTACAGGGAGCAGTCAACCCCCCTGTTTAAACAGTTCCACTGGCTTCTAATAAGTTTCTGGTCCCAATTCAAGGTGCAGGTTATCACCTACAAAGCCCTAAACAGTTCAGGACCTGCCTATCTTCACAATCACATCTTCCCCTACGAACGAACACATACCCTAAGATCATCCGGAGAGGCTCTTCTCTCGCTTCCACCGCTGTCTCAAGCGTGGTTGGTAGGGAGGGTTTTCTTGGTGGTGGCCCCCTGGCTCTGGAACTCCCTCCCTAGGGAGATCAGACAAGCACCCACCTTGTTCATTTTCCACGAAGACTTAAAAACGTGGATGTGCCATTGCGCCTTTGATTAGGCAGTTCACCAGAGAATTGACTTGACCCTATTTAAGCTCCTGCACTTTAGTTCGGCCCTCCTCACAGTAACCTCAACACTTTACAGCCAAAGGTATTCCTTCTAGCCTGACCCATTTGAATTTTTGCACTTTCCCTCGGTTCTACTTAAGAATTCATTGTGCTTACTTGAGCCCGGACTCAGATCCGATTTTGTTTTCAGCCATGATATTGTTCTTATGTTTTTGTTGTGATTGTGTTATGTTTTTATTTGATTGATTTTAATGTGGGTTTTTTGGGCTTGTCTCCTTGTAAGCTGCCCCAAGTCCCATTCAGGGGGTATAAAAATAAAGTAGTAGTAGTAGTAGTAGTTGTAGTAGTAGTAGTAGTAGTTGTAGGATGAGCAATTTTGCCCGTGTAATGAGGTCATAAGATGCCATCAATTTCAGTACCACAGAAATACAAAAGCTATATATAAGCACTCACAAGTCTAAGATGCACTCCATTTTTAGAGATGTTTATGTATGGAAACAGTGTATGCCTTTTTATGTATGTAAACTCCCCTGAGTACCCTCAGAGAGAGAGGGAGGTCTATAAATAAAGTATTTATTATTGCTGCTGTGGTTTATATCAAATCACAACTGATGATTGCAGGTACTTTATTATTATTATTATTTATTATCCCAGAATCAGAGAAATACAGGATATATTTATATATCCTGCGGATCATATCTTGTGTCGCTTATCAATATGGAGTGAGTGTTTTGGTGAATCATGGTGTTTACCTAGGCTGTTTGCAAAATTCACAGTTAGAGAAGACTAACAAACCTTTATTAATTTGCTATGTTGCATCCATATATGTATGCTAATAATGTACCAATGTACATCGCCTTTAGTTAAATACCACCCGTTATTACTTGCACATACAAAAAAAGAGAGGGAAACATCTGCTAATTTATTTTTACGTCTTCCAGTTTGGGTCTTAATTAACCAGCGTAACTATCTGACTTCCATTTGTTCTCAATTATATTGCCATATCCCAGTTATCATGCATGCATTCTGTTCAATGGTAATTGATTTCAAGGCTCAATGGCCCTGCATATTCTACAAGTTCATTCTAAGTTCAACAGCAATAACATCAGATCGCCACTGACTGCATTCTCCAAGAATTAGCTGGTGCTTTTTCTTACACAGTTCCTCCTCACACCATTATTTGCTGAAATTTTGTTTCTTGCTAAGATTTCAGGCAGATCTGTCTGTACTCTATTTAACCAAAATTAAAAAGGATTGCTTTCTTTCTATGACAGTAGCTAAGAAAACCAGAATTGGCAACTGTGATTATGAGTGCAACAACCATTGTCAAAAATGCAGGGGCATTGTGGAAAGTATCAAAAATGGAGTCAGAATGAATTCTTTGATTCAAAATGGCATTTTATAGAAGAAAAAATATGTTAGAGAGGCACCTGAAAGTATGGATAGTATCATTTTCTAATTCAGTCACTAGATGGCACTGGATTTCAGAAGATCTGGGTGGAGTCAGGAGGCTACTTGGTGTTGTGTTCTTGTGGAAGACAAGAAAAGCCATGTCTGCCATTGTGACAGTGAGCCTTGCAAAATATCCATGGTAAGGACATTATGGAACTCAAAAGAAAAGTGACCGAGAGGAATGGAAGCAATGTTGTTGCTGTGCGTCTTCAAGTCATGTTTTGCTTATGGGTTTTTCTTGATATGGAAGTGGTTTGCTGTTGCCTTCCTCTGAGGCTGAGTGTGATTTTCCCAGAGTCTGGGTGGGGATACAAACTCTGGTCTCCAATGTCATAATCCAACACTCAAACCATTACACCACAATAGCTCTCCATGGAAAAATTGATCACATACAAAACTAAAGTATGAAGGCAACGGCCTTGGTTAAGGTGTAGACCAAGCCTGCACAACCTGTAGCCCTCCAGGTATTTTAGACTTCAGCTCAAAGAATTCCTGATCATTAGCTGGGGATTCTGGAAGCTGGAGTCCCAAACAACTGGAGAACCACAATTGTGCTGGTCTGGCATAGACCCTCTATGTCCCTCCCTTCTTGCTTCCCCATTATAACTCAAGATTTCTCTTTAGCAGGATTTCATATATGTATTCTCCAAAGTGTTCAGAATGATAGTTGAAGAAATGATTAAGGCTGTGATCTGACATATTTGCCTACTTCCATTGTGTCATGGAATGTATACACAGTCTGTAAAACTGCTGCACTTTGATAATGTTTGAATTATTATGTCTTTATTCTACATAACCCTGGCACTCAATTTTTGATGAGAAATACATAGGATTCAGAAAGCTATACTTCAAAAAATAGTGGCTCAGAATTCTTTATGGAATGTTTGCCTTTTATGTTGTGAGTTGCCCTGAGTCCCCATGGGGAGATGGGGCGGGATATAACAAAAGTTTTCCTTCCTTACTTACTTCTCTAGCACAGAATGCTAAATACCTCACAGGTTTGTCTAGATTGAAGTCATGACAATTAAAGTGGCCTCCAACTGCTATAACTGTACATTTTGGATATGCAGGCAGTTACAAACATCCAACTTACAAATGACTCACAGTTGAAAACTAGAGTAGGAGAAATCTACCCCTCAGAAGGGAAAATTCACTCCCAAAAGAGTTATTATGATGAAAAGTTGTCTCGACTGAAGCTTTATCACCAAGCCTTGTTTCCACAACAAGCCTAATTTTTAAAAAAATTATTATCACAGGGACAAAAAGTGAGGTAAAATCTTCTGAACAGGAGCACAGACAGCAAAACAAACACCACAGGGGTGATAACCTTTCCCTATGCTATCCAACACTCTCTCTCTCACTTACTCTTAGGTTCTAACTTACAAACAAATTCAATTTAAAAAGAAACTGCCTGGATACAGATATTACTTTATGAACAAAAGCAGCAACTTACTTCCATGGCAGTAAGATGGTGAATCTCTTTATAATCCAGACTTAAATGAATTCTCCAAGGCATTGAATCCTATCCACAGAACAGCTTCAATAAGGATTACGTCCTTAAACCAGAACAAAACAGAGAGGATTTTTGTTTAAACAAAACTATATCTTACTGCTGCTATTTGTCATATTCAGTTTGTGAGTGTGCATGTAAAGAGCATACAAGTTCAAATAGCACTACTCAGATTTAGAGATAGAGTTACAACTACCTAGCAAGTATCCGATAACCCTTACTTTCCTATTAATATGATTTTTCAAAAGAGCTTGGCTTATATTATCAAATTATTTGTTCCCTTCAAAAGGACCCCAACACAGGTATGGAAGCATGTATTCAGAACCATGTTGAGAATTAGACAAATCATGTATGTTTATGTGGTAAATTATCTTGAAAGTTAATTCCATATCTAGTTAAACATTGTCATTAAAATTGCTCTTGGTAGGTGTTCTTCTTCAGCTTGTTTTCTTTGCTTCTTTTTCTTTTGGAAGGTGGCCTTCAGCAAGTATTGCAACTCGAGAGATATTATGGACCTCTTCTGTATTGCAACAGGTTTACCAAGGTAAATATTCTCTTCTGGCATTATACTGTTCTTTGTGTACGTAAAGGATATTATGTTTCCAAAATAAATAGCTGCCTCCAATAATTAAAGAAAAAAAAACTAGAAATGTTACAAGAAGATTATAGAATAGTTCAAATCTTCTGTGACTAAGATTACCTAGATTTTTATATATGGGAGAGCCAGTGTGGTATTGGGCTTTGAGCACTAGACTATGGCTCTGGAGAATCATAGAAGCAGAAATTATAGAGTTGGAAGAGATCTTGTGGGCCATCCAGTCCAACACCCTGCCAAGAAGCAGGAAAATCACATTCAAAGCACCCCTGACGGTTGGCCATCTAGCCTCTTCTTAAAAGCCTCCAAAGAAGGAGCTTCCACCACAGTCTGGGGCAGAGAGTTCCACTGCTGAACAGCTCTCACAGTTAGGAAGTTCTTCCTCATGTCCAGCTGGAATCTCCTTTCCTGTAGTTTGAAGCCATTGTTCTGCATCCTAATCTCCAGAGCAGCAAAAAACAAGCTTACTCTGTCCTCCCTATGAATTCCTCTCACATATTTATACATGGCCATCCTGTCTCCTCTCACCCCCCCCCCCCCCCCCCATGTTGATTCATGTAGGAAGCAATGATACCTCTACACATACTTTTAAAAAGATCACAAACGATTTTTGAGCTTTCGAGACAAAGCTAAAACAAGCTAATTTACAGATGATCTTTTCATCCCTCCTCCCCGTTGTAAGACACGGCCCTACAAGGGCCACAAAAATAGTACAGATCAATAACTGGAGACCAGGATTCAAATCTCCACTTAGCCATGGAAGCCCTTTGGGTGACCTTGGCCAAGTCACACTTTCTCAGCCACAGAAGAAAACAAAAACTAAACCCTCTCTGAACAAATTTGCCAAGCAAAACCCATGATCAATTCATCTTATGGTCAACATAAATTGGAAACAACTTGAAGGAACACAAGAACACAGTTTGTACGTGCTAAACATCTGCTAGATGATAGCATCCCAATGCATGAGAAGCTGCAAAGTTTATCACTACTATTGTTTTTCAGACATCCTAAATTCTCTCAACAATGAGTTCAGGAGTGGAATAAATCACCCTATTAATATCAATAGCACTGATTTCAGTTTGAAAGGCTTGTGGGAAAATGAAATGAAACATCTTCTTCTTTGGGCAGTTAGGCTGATTGTTTGGCTCTAGTCCCTGTATGACTCAATTGCAGAAGTCTTATTAACTTCAGCAAAACATTCACTGGTGGAATATTTCAAATGTTGGATCCTTGAACTCTATATGAGTAATACATTACCTTCAAGATTTGCTTATCCGCATTATGTAAAATCTTAATAGAAGACGTAGGCATTTCATAAGCATCCACAAACCTTGTGTCAGAAATCATCCAGATAATTGGATTAATAATGTCCTCATATTACTCTTTAAGAGATATACTGTTCTTCTTTGCAAGATCTCATGGAAACTCTTTTCAAAACTGAATTCCTATCATAAAAACATTTCACTTCTACTCAACTCGATATGCTTTGCAGTTGCTAATGAAATGTCTGATTTCGATCCATAAATATAGGTTAAACGTTATCACCGGTCCATGCCTTCACTCTGTTGACACAGAAGACTTGCCGTATTTAACAGTCTAAGCTATTTACAAACTATAGGGAGGAAAGCCATTTTTCTTATGAGCTTCATGAATCCGATCCATTATTGTTTAATTTTTCGATTCAGAGGAGCGAGGTGTAATCTCCCTGGCAACTCTGAACAATGACCAAGAAAACATCTCCACCTCACTTAATGTGTGTTTTCTGGTTGTAGCAAGAGAAAGATGCTCAGAAACAGAGGAGCAAAGGGAAATATTATTCCCTCACCTAAAAATGTAAACATAGTCTATTCTAGGTTTGAAAGGGACTTTCTTTTTATGCTATAATAAAGGTAATGGTAAAAGTTTCCCCTGACATTACGTCTAGTAATGTCCGACTCTGGGGATTGGTGCTTATCTCCATTTCTAAGCTGAAGAGCCTGTCTGTAGATACCTCCAAGGTCATGTCGTTAGCATGACTGCATGGAGTGCTGTCATCTTCCTGCAGAAGCAGTACATATTGATCTATTCACATTTGCAGGTTTTTGAACTGCTAGGTTGGCAGAAGCTGGGGCTAACAACAGGAGCTCACCCTGATCCTCAGATTCAAACTGCCAACCTTACAGTCAGCAAGTTCAACTGCTCAGTAGTGTAACCCGCCATGCCACCAGGGGGGCCTTTTATCCTATATTTACCTGTTATTACATCTCAAATAGGCACCAAGTCTTACTTGTAATGTAATGTACAGTACAACCTCCATACCTGTGGGACTGGAAGCTGTGGTTTCTTTTATCCACATCTGACAAAATAAATCTTTTTTAGGTATTTTCTAGACACTCCAGCACAACTCTATGGTGCACTTGGGCCAGTAGTCCTCTCTTTCAATATGATTCATTATTATCCATGTTTGCTGCATATAGATCCAGTAGTCATACTGTATATACAACTGCCATTTTGCAGAATATGTGCGTAATGAGGAATACTTCAGGAAAACTGTTAAGAACAGAGCTTGGAAAATTACTTTTATGCCCCATCTACACTACCATATAAAATCCAGATTGTCTGTTTTGAAATGGATTATATTAGTCTACACTGTCATATAATCCAGTTCAAATCAGATAATCTGGATTTTATATTGCAGTGCAGATGGGGCCTTAGAAAGCTTTTAGAAAGCTTACTAGTTAGCACTACTTCAAAACTAGCATCCTCTCCTCCTCCTCCCCCCCTTCTCTTCCTCATCTCCTCATCATCTTCTCCTTCTGTTCCTCCTCCACCACCACCACCTTCTCCTCCTCCTCCTCCTTCATCTTCTTATGTTTACTTATATCCCACTTTTTCTCTCCCTAAAGGAGATTCAAAGTGGCTTACATTAAAAGCATTCCAATACAATACAATACAATACAATACAATACAATACAATACATTTACCACATTGGTAACAATTATAAAGGAACTTGGTAATTTCTTGTTCCTGAAAAATATTATAAATCATTACTTTCAGTTAATTAAAACAAATGACAAAATGTTATAAGCCACTGGACTGGTCAGAAAACATACTTTCCTGGCAACCGTCTTAATGTTGCATGAACACCCATATTTGAGCATGTGGCACACACATGCGGCAGAATATAAGATAAAACCATGTGATGTTCTTCTGTCACTATAAAAGTAACAAATCTATCATAGTTACACTTCGGAGTTAATAATAATAACAACAATAATAATACAATTTATTTATATCACTAGGGGACTCAGAGTGGCTTATGGCATTTTACATACATAGACAAGCATTCAATGCCTTTTACAATTATCAACAATGGGACACACAAACACAAACAAGGGCCAAGGCTTCTCCTTTTTTATTTCCAGCTTCTGGAGGAGATTCTCATCTCTGGCTCTGGGAGGTGCTTTTTTCCATTTTCAAGCCGGGGAGCCTGCGTTGTCATCTCCTGATTGTGCGGCTGGCAAGATTGCTCTTTGCCTTTTCCCACTTAAGTGGTACCTTTTTATCTACTCACACATTACATGTTTTTGAACAAGTTGGCAGGAACTGGAGTTGACAAATGGGAGCTCACCCTGTCTCGTGGATCAAATGGCCAACCTTCAGGTCAGGAGTTCAGCAGCTCAAGGGTTTAACCCATCACACCACTGTGACTCCTGTTAAGTTATTGTCATAATGCATCTTGACTATACATTCATTAATGGAAAAAAAATTAAATAAAAAAAACCAGTTACTTTTGAGCTCTGTCTAGAGAAAAAAATCCTTTCTATACATTCCTGAACCTATCATGGAAGCAGGAAACCATAGTTAATAGCAAACTTGACTGAAGTTTACGATTTCCTGGATGGCCAAACTAAAAGAATTCTTAGAAAGGTATCCTTTCTAGGAAGTTTCTTGATCCTCCAGAGCAACTTTATGGTAACTTCCAATGTAAGCATAGCACATCATCGCCTGATGGCCCTACTCGATACCTGGAGAGTATGTATTTGTTGGACTTGGGTACCGGTCCCACAAGAACAGGATTGTACTGTGTTTGAAAAGTCGTGTGGCTTCCTCTTCCTTGTCAGTTGTCAGTCAGTTATTCTGACTGATAATTTCTTCATTCCTTCAGTTTCTGTCAGAAGTGCTTTAAGAGACTTTTAAGGGCATTCATCTGAGTGTTCTCAATCTTTTGATTGCCCCTTAAATAATAGCTGCCATTTCTTTCTTTCCCCCCTCAGGTGCCCAACTTCAGTTTTATTTATCAAAAAGCCATTAGGATTTGCCATCAAGTGTATGAGGGGGCATGAGAGACTGCCGTCATGGCTTGATGCTGTGAAATAAATAGAGCTTTAAACTTTGTCTTCCAGGAATACAACCATTTCACTCTTCACAGTTGACGGCTGCATGGTATCTATCGATCCTACCATGCCAGCAAACTCAGAAAGGCAAGTATGTTTTCATGTAACTAATGAAAGCCCAGAGACATCATTGTGATTGCTGTACTTTTTGTGTTTATGTTTAGTTTGCATGCCAGGCATAAGAGAACATGCAGTGGGAGATAACAAAAAATCCTCATACTTGCGCAGTTCTAAAGATCCTTTCACATTTTAAAAACCATATTAAATCATGTGTAGTCATGTGCGACTGCAAGATGTAGTTGTGAGGAGCATTTGTCCGTCCCACTCTGCTGCTTCCTCCGGAACTTGACAGTTGTTTATAACTCCTAGGTTTCTTTAGACTTTTATTAGAAGAAGCAAAGCACAAAATTCTGCATGTTGCCATTTTTGGAGAGACGGTTAACGTATAGTGTACGGTTTCTCTTTTCTCAAAGTTCTTCTTAATTTCCCCAGGCATCTTATGGTTCGCTTGGCTCCTGTCTTTTCTTCTCTCTGTGTGTGTCTTTCTCTCTCTCTCTCTCTTTCACACACACACACACACACACTGCAGTTGTTTATCCTACAAGTCATACTTTTCTTCCCTAGTTTTTGTTTGAGTTTAACCCGTTGGATCTCAAACATGGAAGCAGCTACTGGGCTTGATTAGAAACTGCAGGACTGCGTACGTTGTCAACACTGGTTAAATATATCGAAGAATTGGGAATAGGCACAGAAAGGGTAACTTTTTCTCTGGGTAATGCTTGAACACAACATTCTTCAAGCAATCCTTCTCACATCTTATGCTGGTGACTTCATCTGAAAATACAAGTTATAATTCTTTTATCTTCTTTTGTCTCTAGGACTCCTTACAGAATAATACCAGTGGCTACTGAGCAACAAACAGGTAAACGGTTTCATCAGAAAGTGATTTGAACACATTTCTTGCATTTCTAAACAGGCAAACATTATTTTAATCAGAAGTGATTTTGTGCTTTTTTACATTTGTAAATGTGGAGTCATTTTTCATAATGGAAATATTACACTATGATGCCACTTTAAATGCTATGGAGTCCTGGGATTTGTAGTTTGGGGAGCTACTAGAGCTCTCTGGATGAGAATTCTCAATGCCTCTCCCTACACTACAAATCACAGGATTCCATAGGATGGGAGCTATTTAAATGGATATTGAATAATGTATCACTAGAAATAAAACCAAAATAAATTAGGTGCTGTTAATTTAATGTGAGTAGATCAATAGGTACCGCTCCAGCATGAAGGTAACGGTGCTCCATGCAGACATGCCAGCCACATGACCTTGGAGGTATCTATGGACAACGCCAGCTCTTTGGCTTAGAAATGGAGATGAGCACCAACCCCCAGAGTCGGACACCGCTGGACTTAATGTCAGGGGAAAACCTTTACCTTTACTAAGTTAATAGATTATGAGACATTTTCATGCCTTTTGCACTTAATGATAAATGAGACTAACCACTTCATCACATGCATTAAATTCTACTGAGCCACCCACTTAAGAAATTGCAATCTACTGTGTTCATCACATGACATCGGTCTCAAGTGTAAGGTAGAGTTATCTTGGTGTTTTTAAAGTGTTTTAAAGGGTTATCTTTTCAGATGCTTTCTAAGTTGGTTGGCAAGTGGTGTTTTTGTAAATTATCTGCATGGAAGTGGGCAAAATGGCTAATTATGTCACGTGATGAATTCCCCCTGTTCTCTGCCTTAAAATGAAACAGTTATGCAATTTGTGGGAGGAGCTAAAATGCCCTTTTGAGAAAAAGCTGTGCTATTACCTGGTGGCACAGTGGATTAAACCCCTGTGCCGGCAGGACTGAAGACCGACAGGTCGCAGGTTCGAATCCGGGGAGAGGCGGATAAGCTCCCTCTATCAGCTCCAGCTCCTCATGCGGGGACATGAGAGAAGCCTCCCACAAGGATGATAAAAAAATCAAATCATCCGGAGTCCCCTGGGCAACGTCCTTGCAGATGGCCAATTCTCTCACACCAGAAGCGACTTGCAGTTTCTCAAGTCGCTCCTGACAAGACAGAACAAAAACAAAAACCTTTTGATCAACTTTTGCTTAAGAAGAGAGAGAGGGACGGGAGGGATGGAGGATGGCTGACCTGGCGGCAGAAGGAAGGGGGGCCATTGGCTTCATCTCCTGGATATATATACCAAAACCCCCTGTGATAATCACCAGAAGCCATCGTGCATCATGAAGACAGCCAGTGGCCCCTTCAGGGTGAATCCGAGGTCTTTGTCTAGACAAACCCCTGTTCTCAAAGGATTCATAACACAATCACAAAAGTTAGTAACCCAAGAAAACAAAAAAAGTTGGTGTTCACAGGCAGTTTCTACTTCAGAGGCAATTACACTGCAGTCATGCTTTCTGCACAACTGACAAAATACAAGGGGAGAAAATGGACAATGTCAAATGCAAATTAATGCTACTGCAATGAAGAAAATCAATTTTTTAAAAAGTCTTGAATACCAGCAGTACTGACAAGGATGGGGAACTAGGGGTCTGCAAAATGTGGGTGGGTTATATCCCATTATTCCTGACCACTGGCTGTGCATGCTGGGGCAGCTGTTGGAGTTCCAAAACATCTGGAAGAGCAGAAGCACCTCATCCTGGCTCCAGAGTAACCCCTTTTCACATTATTCTTTACTTCTGTTTTGAATATGGCTATCGATGCTTTTGAGCTGTGGTGTTGGAGGAAAGTTCTGAGAGTGCCTTGGACTGCGAGAAGATCAAACCAG